AAGATAAGTGTGATCCACAATCGAACCTTCGGAAAAACGAAAACGGGGAATGAACACCTGACTCAGAAGCATTAGATAGCGCACAAAAAGGCTTTCATAAGTATCGATGGACACTGTTACGCTACGATAGAACTGCAGATGCCAAAGGAAATATGATTCGTAGAAGTGGTAGGAATTGTGGGGAAAGCAAGGTGATCTTGTATCAAAGCGTGTTTTTTGGCCCGTGATACACATGTTGTATTGAAACATTGTCTGTTTAATCTTTGTTTTTTTCTGGATACGTTTCTGCGGATTTTTATGCGTTTTTTGCAGCTATGCAATGCAAAAAACGCATGTTGACGAGGGGTTGTCTGTGTGTCTCTATGTCCGTGTATACGTCTGTTACGGTTTTCATCTCAAGACCTACAAAAACTACAGGGCTGAAACTTTGGAAACTTAATTTACATGCACGTACGGGCCCCAATTCCCAAAATGGGCGCCATTACCAGCGTGGTACCCACGTAAGAGCCCCTCAAAGTTTTTTGCAGGTAAGCTGCTAACTCAGGAGTCAGAAACGCTTGGGGGCTGAAATTTTAAGGGGATACTTCCAATCCAAGTAGGTATTAATGAGCGCAAACTCAGCCCCTGGGTAAGCGTGGTACCCGCGGACGGGCCCGTCAAAATTTTTTCGGGCAAGCTCATAATTCAGGGATCTGAGAAGCTAGGAAGCTGAAACCTTAAAAGGATATTTTCCGTCCAAGTAGGTACTGGTGACCCCAAAATTAGTCCCCTGGGTAAGCGTGGTACCTACGTACGGGCCCGCCAAAATTTTTTTCGAGTAAGTTGCTAACTCGGGAGCCAGGAAAGCTAGAAAGCTGAAATTTTAAGGGAGTTTTTCCTGACAGTTCTAGCGGCCAGTCTTAATTTGTTTAGCTAGAAGCATTTGCCGAAAAAACTGGTGCCAGGGAACTATGCAAAAAATACATCTTCGCACGGGAGCCCGTACGTTGGCCAATTATTTCTTTAGATACTTTGGCC